GCAAAGCTGTAGAGGATGAAATCCCTCTGGTGGAATGAGTTCTGAGATTCTCTGGAGGGTCCAGTCCTGATGCTCTGTAAGCTTCAGAAATAGCCTCACACAGCCAGTGTGAGAGGCGCTGAGTGGATAAAGGGTGACCTGCAGAGGTGTCCCTGTAATGCACAAACAGACGCTGATAATGACACAGTGGAGCCGTGCGTGCTATAGAACATGCAAGCGTGCGCACGGGACAGAGGAGGTGAGATTATGCTTCCTCCTCTGAATTGTGAGGAGGAAGATAAAACCCCTCCAAGGTTATAAATGGTAAATGGACTGCACTTATATAGCGCCTTTATATCTTTATTGAGATACTCAAAGCGCTTTACACTACAATCTGTGTCCTCAGTTACCCATTCATACAGCACTCTACTAGATCTCTACAAAGCTAATTGAACAAATCATTCCAAAGAGACTAATCAGACCTTTATCACATTCATACACTGATGAGACACACATCAGAGGCAATGAGGGGTTCAGTGTCTTGCCCAGGGACACTTCGGCATGTGACTGCTGTGGGGTTCTAACCCCCAACTCTTGCACTGGAGGACGACTGCTCTTATTTACATTTATGTGAAGTGACGTGTTCCAGCCACTGTGCTCCCACTGCTTGGGATAGACACATTCTTCCCAGTTTGATAGGAGCATGTCTGTGAAAACGGAGACGTGACGTAGGCCTGCTGATGGGAAACTCCCTCTGACAGAATGAGGGGGTTTCCCCAGTGATTCAGATCGGAGCTCACGGAGGGGGGCACAAAGATAATCCGCCTCTTCTGGCGCACAGGATCTATGCGCAGGCGGGCAAACCATCTCTGAAGGTGTCTCATATAAAGCAAGCCCAGGGAACCACGATGTGAGCCGCTGACATCGTCCCAGGCGTCGCATGACAGGCAGACTGTCACTATGCTGCAGGGTTTGAAACGGCGGAGCTGAGCTGACAGAGCTTTGGCTCTCAGCTGTGATAAACGGGCTCTCATTGTGGTTGAGTTTAGCTCCACTTCCAGATAATCATCTGGGACGGGCGAACAGAACTTTTTCCCAGTTTAAAGAAAACCCCAGGTTTAGCAGGTGTAACATCAGCGTTTTGGTTTGTGCGGCCGCTTTTGTCTGGATCGAGCTAATAAAAGCAGATCGCCCAGACAAAAAGAATTCTCATTCCTGCCATGTGTAACAACTGCAGAGCCGTCTCCACGCATTTTGAGAATGTGTGTGGGGCGAGGGAATAACCGAACGGTAGCCTGTTGTACTGATACGGAATCCCCTGGAGGAGAAAACACAGGAATTTCCTGTGTTTCAGAATGATGGAAATGTGAAAATATGCGCTCTTCAGATCTATGGAGGTGAAAACTGGTCTCTCTTGTAAATGGGTATGTTTACATGGACATAAGTAACCGGATCAAATGGCCGGTCGATATAAAAGTGTGTCATGTAAACACTCCGTTCGGGTTATTTTTTGTGTATTCGGAGCGATCCAATATAATTTGTGATCAGAACGAAACGGGTGGTTTACGCCGATCCGTAACCCGATCGGTGCGCATGTAAAAGCTTGATTTGTTCGTTTTTATCTGATCGTGAAAAACGGACCTGACTGTGCATGTGCGACACGTACCTCTACGCGTTTCCTTTTCCGCCTGGCTAATGGGTAGATGCTAACATGGCGGGCAAGCAAAACTGGTCGGTGAGCGATACAACATTTCTAATCGAAACGTTAAAAAGAACTCAAAATTATCGAACGCCTTGACGGTCGAAAGTGTAGGAACACGGAGTTATTTAAACAAGTACATGAAAAACTGGAAGAAGCCGGAATCCATCGAACAATTGAGCAAATAAAAAAATCGCTGGAAGAGCTTGAAAGCTAAGTACTACCAAGCTAAGAACAAGAACGGGAGAAGTGGCTCCGACCCCACCACTTTTTCATTTTATGTGTTGATGGACGAACTGATGAGAGATCGGCCACTGGCCAACACGACAGGCAGCGGTGTGGATCAAGGTTATGAGGAGGAATCTGAGGACTACAGCCCCGAAGCAAATCCGGAACAAAGCATCCTTTCCGGTAAGATACTCTTCAAGCCACATTAACCCTCTGTACTGTATTACTTGGTGTAATTGGGATACAACAAATATGTTAAAATGTAATTATAATAAGAAATAAGAGTAGCTGTAGGGCTAGCATAATTATGCCTCCAAGGATTGTGCACAATGGAGAACATGAGACCTATATTGTGGATTATAACACTACCCCAACTAACCAGATAATTAACCTAACAAATTTCAACATACCAGGGGCCCAGTTAGACTTTATTTTTTTATTTTTCAGATGATGAGTCCAGCTTTGAAGAGGCAGCTGGCAGCAGCACACACCAAGTAACAGAAGACAGTGGTCCTAGAAACTTTCAACAGACGAGGACATCAAGGAAGAGTAAGTTGTGTTCCAGATGACAAAAACAGTAACAAATGTTTATATAGTGTTTAGGGAGATTATGTTAGTACTGCATCCAAGCAAGTAATAGTGTTTTACATCATTGCAGGACCACGAGGGAACTCTGGTTATGCAAGGGCCATGCAGACTTGGGCCACCGAACAAGCAATCCTTCTACCAGAAGATGCAAGAGTCCCAGAACAAATGGATAGAAGAACAACAGGAACGATGGCAGCAAAGAGAAGAAAGGTTGTTTGTAAGGTTCTTAGAAGAAAACACACTCTCAACTGAGCGCGTAGTGAGGCAATGTTTTGATTGATTAAAGTCTATCATGACTCAAATGACCCCACCTCCACAGGGAAGATCTCCAGTTCCTCCCTACCCTCAGCATCAATACCCAGGCCAAAGCCGGTCTGCTCAATTTCCTCAGAACCCAAGCTACTCTGATTACCATCTCCATGACCTAGTTTAAAGACATAAGCTGAGCTAAGTTAAGTTAAAAAAAAGTTTGTTATTTGTGCAGCAGCAGCTAAGGTTTCAGATACTTAAAAAGCCCCTTTAATGCAGATGGCCTGTATGGAGTGGAAACTTGGACATATATGCACTCAGTGCTTCTCTTGCACCGTTTCCACCAACACTGCAATGAAGATTCACTGGCTGGTTAGGCTGAGGGTAGTTGTTTGCACGGTCACGTGCCTCTTCCAACCAGTTGCTGTTGCCATAATCCCTCTCCCTCTGGCAGAAGTTGTGGAGTGCACAACATGTGGCAATCGTTGGAGCAAAGGTGAAATGAAAGTCACTTCTTTTTAGAAGAACTCTCCACTGTGACTTCAGCAACCCGAAGGTCATCTCTACGCCCACCCTGACTGAGCTAAGGTAAACATTAAATGACTCTTGTTGAGGAGTCAGACGAGGAGAGTTTGGGTATCCTTTGATGAGCCAGTCCAAAAGCGGGTATGCAGGGTCACCAACAATGAGAAGACTGATGTCCTTTCCTTCAATGTTCCTCACAGACTGCAAAAAAAGGACATACCAATATTTAGTATTTTACTTAGACATTGTTTAAAGGCATGGTTCAAACAAACTTTTTTTTTTAAATAAAACTTTACTGCTATATATCTCTACTTTGAGAACCTTAGCTGTAATAGTTGTAGTAATACTAAATACAATATAGCAAATATTGGCAACATTTAACCATTTGTTTAAAGGCATGCTTCTAACAAACATTTTAAAAAATAATTTTACAGCTACGTATCTCTACTTTATAGTTTATAGTTGTAGTAATAATAAATACAATATAGTAAATATTAGCCTTACTTTTGGCATTAGATGAGCCCTTTGATAGAGGTCAGAGTGGCGCAGGACATTGGCATCATGGGCACTGCCTGGCATCTTGCAACTGATGCTCCAGAAACTGAGAAAAACAGAGGAAAAACAGTAATTAATAATAAATACAGACAGTATCAAGCATAGACAGGTAGAAAAAGAAAGAAAAACAAGTTTA